ACATGTTAACCATTAATGTTCATTTACCAAATCTTGCTTAAACTCTTGTACTCTCAAAGCTAATTTCATCCAATTGCCTTTTAATTATAGTCTCGTGCTCCAAGTTGCAAATATAATGGCTTTTTAATATAACTTGCACTGTTCTGTGTCCAAAGTAGGATGTAATCATGCAATTTATTCAGCCAGAGCCAGTGTATTAGGTAATTAAAACATAAGAACACATGGATTTCTGCATCTGCATGTACCTGGCAGGAAAGTAATATAAAAATCTGACAGCTGCTTTTGAGTAGAATTCTAAAACTCTTATACCCACCAATGTATACCGCAGCTACTGTAAAATACAGAAGTCAGATGTCATTGGGAGACTTGTGCACATTTCAGAGACTAAGATGGAAGAAACTGACCTAAAGTAGAAATATAACTGATGTAGTGTATTTTTAACTTTCTAATCACAGTCTTGGTAGAGATTATAATTTCCAGTACAAGTTACTTCTTTATTATTCAAGATGTTAGAAGGTGAACAGAACTTCAGTTTACTGTCTCCTTTAAAAGAAAGCAAGGGAGTAATTCAATATTACTTTCATTAAGATGATCAAACAAAATGTAACAATTATAAACCTCTTTAAGAGTAGATATTAGGGTGGCATTGTGGCACAGCAGGTTAAATTGCTACTTGAAACATAAGCATCCCATATTGGAGTTCCTAGATTCAAGTCTCTTCTCTACTCCTGATCCAGCTTCTTGCCAACGGCATCTGCTGGAAGGCAGCAGATGACAGCTCAAATACTTGGGTTCTTGCTACCAACACAGGAGACTCTGATGGAGTTCCTGGCTCAACACTGGCTATGGTGAGCATTTGGGGAGCGAACCAGGAAGATGGGAGATGATTTTCAAAAACATAAAAAGTGAATAAATAAACAAAAATAAGTAGTGATTATTTTTGAGGAACTGAGTGGATGTGTACATATGTTTTATATATAAATATACATATTTCTGTGTTTTTCTTCTACTGAACATGTCTTACTCTAGTAAAGTTGTTCACCTTTAGTTTAGGATAGTCAAATTTTATATTAAAAACCAATAATTCTTTTGAATATCCATTTTGAATTACACACAATTTAATTTTGAGTTTATTGGTTCTTTATTCTTTTTAAAAAATATTCATTTATTTGAAAGAGTTACACAGAGAAGGAGAGACAGAGAGAGAGATCTTCCATCTGCTGGTTTACCCTCAAAATGGCCACAACGACCAAGGCTGGGCCAGGTTGAAGCCAGGAGCCAGGAGCCAGGAGATGCTTCTGGGTCTACCATGTGGCTGCAGGGGCCCAAAGGAGGGAGAGCCAGATGAATCTTCTGGCTCCTGGCTCCAGCTTGGCTCAGTCCTGATTGTTGTAAACATTTGGGGACTGAACCAGCAGATAGAAAGTCTCCTCTCTCGCTGACTCTCCCTCTCTTGCTGTAATGCCTTTTTTTTTTTTTTTGGACAGGCAGAGTTAAACAGTGAGAGAGAGAGGTAGAGAGGTAGAGAGAAAGGTCTTCCCTCCGTTGGTTCACCCCCAAAATGGCCGCCACAGCTGGCACACTGTACCCATCCGAAGCCAGGAGCCAGGTGCTTCCTCCTGGTTTCCCATGCAGGTGCAGGGCCCAAGGACTTGGGCCATCCTCCAATGCTTTCCCCGGCCACAGCAGAGAGCTGGACTGGAAGAGGAGCAACCGGGACAGAACCGGCGCCCCAACGAGGACTAGAACCCGGAGTGCCAGGGCCACAAGTGGTGGAGGATTAGCCTAGTGAGCTGCGGCGCCGGCCCCTGACTTTCAAATATATAAATAAATCTTTAAAAAAAGTCTTTGCAATAAATTTAACTAAGAAAGTAAAGATCTATTCACTTAGTTACAAATTCAAGTAATTCCTATCAAAATTCCAATGTCGTTTTTCAGACTAAAAAAAAAATTCTAAAATTTGTGTTAATTCATTAAGACTCCAAGTAGCCAAAACAAGTGAAAAAGTAAAGTAATGCTGGAGCATCATACTTCATGATTTCAAACTATCTAACAAAGCTACAGTCATCAGAATTGTGGTTAAGGCATAGAAGCAAACACACAGATCAATGTGAAGAAGATAGAAAGCCCAGTAGTAAGCACAAGGCTATTCACTATTTTTTTTTTTAAGCTTTATTTATTTATTTGAAAGGTGGCGTTACAGAGAGGAAGATGCACAGGCAGACAGAGACAGAGATTTTCCATTCACTGATTCACTCCCTGAGTGGTTGCAATGCCTGGAGCTGGGCTGATGTGAAGCCAAGAGCCAGGAGATTCTTTCAGGTCTCCCATGCAGATAGAGGGGCCCAAGGACTTGAGCCATGTTCTACTGCATTTCAAGGCAACAGCAGAGAGCTGGATCAGAAGAGCAGACAGGTCTCCAACTGGCACCTATATGGGATGTCGGCACTGCAGATGGCAGCTTTACCCACTGTGCCACAGCACCAGCTTCCTATTCACTAATTGAGAAGGGTACCCAGACACAATGAAGGGATAATCCTTAATAAATGGTACAGAAAAATTTCTGACATGCAAAAGAATAAAACTGAACTGTTATCTTATACCATACACAAAAATCAACTCAAAATGGCTTAAGGACCTAAATTCAGTAAAAGTTCTAAAATAAAAATATGGGGGAAAAGTTCTTTGACAGTGGCTTTGGCAATTTGTTTTTGGATCTCATAGCATTCACTCAGGCTAAATAGCAAAACTACACAAATGGGAATATAACAAATTAAAAAGCTTCTGCATTGCAAAGCAAGCAATCAAGCTAAAAGTTGACAGACTGGTCTAAGAGAAAATATTCACAAACCATGTACTTCATAGGAGTTAATATTCAAAATCCATAAGGAACTCATAAAATTCAACAGAAAAAAAAAATCAAGCTTAAAAACAGGCAAAGAACCTTAACAGAAATTTCTTAACAGACACACTCATCCAAATGTTCAATAGATATTTGAAGAAATGCTCAAAGTAATTAATCATCAGTGAAACGCAATGAGGTGGGGGCCTGCACTGTGGCATAGTGGGCTAAGCCTCCATTTGTGGTGCCAGCATCCCATATGGGCACTTGTTCCAGTCCTGGATGCTCCACTTCCCATTCAGCTCTCTGCTATGGCCTGGTAAAGCAGTAGAAGATGGCCCAAGTGCTTGCGTCTCTGCATCTGCATGGGAGACCTGGAAGAAGCAAATTCCTGGCTCCTGGCTTCAGACTGGCTCAATTCTGGCCATTGTGACCATTTGGGGAGTGAACCAGCAAATGGAAGACCTTTCTCTTTGCCCCTCCCTCTCTGTAACTCTCTCTCTCAAATTAATAAACAAAATCTTATAGATAACAGGTATTGATGAGGTTGTAAAAATCCTTGTATACTGTTGGTGGAACTATAAATTGGTATGAACATTGTGTAAAACAGCATAAAGTTCCTCAAAAAAATTAAAATAGGATTATGATAGTACCCAGCAAGCCCACTGTTGGTATATACCCTCAAAAAATGAAATTATAATCCCATGGAGATATCTGCATGCCAAAGTTCACTGCAGCATATTTTACAGTAACCAAAATATGGAAATAACCCAAGTGTATATCAATGTATGAATGGACAAAGAAACTGCTATATAAATACAATAAAATATTATCCATACTTAACAAAGAAAAATACTGCATGATCTCATTTATCTGTGTTAAGTAAAACAAAATATAGAATAAATAGAAACGGAGAGTAGGAAGATAGTGAGCAGGTGGGGAAGTAGAGGAGAAAGAAATAGGCAAAGACTGCAAAGTTGCAGTGTAAGTACAAATCTATGTACTGTAAGTCTACAGATCTAATGTACAGCCTGAGGATAAAAGCTGACCACATGGTATTATGTTCTGAAAATTTGCTGAGTAGATTCTAGGTGTTCTTACTACACGCGCAGGTAACTGTGGATTTAATTTGCTTAATAATAGTTATCATTTCACTATCTATATCAAGACATTATGTTGTACACATTGAATATTTAGAAAAGTTTAAAAATAAGTGTTAAGATTTTCAGTTTTTGTAGAAAACATCTCTGTAGTGAAACCTTCCTACTACTGATCTTTGAGTATTAAAAACAAAAACCAAAAAGGAAGAGAAGGATTTAGATCATGAATGCAAATGCCAATGTAAAAAACACAAAAACAGCCATTTATTCATCAAGGTTTGGGCTTTTTAAAATACCAGTATCTGGAAGCATGTAAATCTCTAGATGGACTGACTTCCTTTGTCAGTTTTCTCTGGATGTATATTTACTTACATTGTGTTCATTCTTATTTATTTATACATTTCTTTCTGAAACATTAACAAAGATTTCAAGTGACATACTCAGGTTAATTAAACTTCCTTTTCCTTATTTCACTGCATTCATATGCCTTCCTGCCCTTACATTCTTCGTAATTTTAGGATACCTCTTTGGGGGTAAAAAAACAAAAAAAATTGCTAGACAGCTAGCCAAGTAACATCCTATTCCCAAATCAGGACTTAACTAAGCCTTGAAATCCAGATACACGAGCATTTTCTGATTGCCATTTTTACTCTTACACATTTAATCTTTAGGACTATAAATACTGAGCTTTTGAATACTTCAACTCCAGAAAGAGGAATCTATAAAATTAGAACAGCTTCCACTGGGAGGAAAAGGATCCAATCTTGATCCCTTTTGATTCCCCAAGTCTCAGTTCTCCAGAGCTTATGGCCTAAACTGAGCTACTGACATGTCTAGTCTTGCTGGCTCCCTACTTAATCCTGTCTTTTGCTTAGGCTTCAGAGTTGCTATGTCATCATTCAGCTCTGAAGCACAAATCCATGGAGAACCAAATCAAATACACTGCTGCCAAAGCAAAAATTAGACAAACATATGTTCCATCATTTTGATCAAACACCAAATTCAGAGCCTAAATCCTACGCGCAGGTATTTGAAAAAATTCCAAACTTACAAATGGATTATGTTCTCAATGGTCCTCTTTATTTAGACTGAAGACCCACATTTTTACAGAAATGGTTGAAATGCCATACAAAATTATAAATTTTAAATACAAGTTAAATGTAAGAGTTTATAGAAACAACTTTAGTCCTTTATTTTTACTTAATTTATATATTTATTCTTCATTTTGACATTTCTAAAACCAAGTCATCTTAAGGTTGATTCAACCATATTGTGTGTGTTTTTTTTTTTCTTAAAAGGTTTTAAACTTACAATAGCTATTAGGGTATTTTAACTATACCTGACTATTTATAATGATTCTTTTTAAAGGACTATGAAGCTACTAGGGCAAGTTCTAATGCAGTATGACTGACGCACCTGTAAAAGGGAATCTGGATACAGACAGGCACAGAGATGTGAGGATAGAGGACACCATGGAAAACACAAAGACAGCCATTTACAAACCAAGGAACAAGAGAAGATGAGAACACAGCCCTCGGAAGGAACCAATCCAGACAACATGTTGATTTTTCACTTCTAACCTCTAAGAACTACAAGATAATAAATTTCTGTTGTTTAAGCCAACCCTTTTGCAGGATAACAGCACACTTGTAAAATACCTTCCAAAATGGCTGTGATTTCTATCTCAACCAAACATATGTAACAGTAATGTTTCCCCCATCTGATGCCAATACAGAACATCAGTCTTTGCAACCTTTTGTTAATTTTAAAGATCACATGAAGCATCTTTTTCCATGCACACTTTGGTTTTTTAATGCAGATTTCTAAGTCTTTGTCCTTTTATTTTGAAATATCTATTAACAAAACCAAACCAACACTCATATCTATGATTTCAAATTGTGACAGCATGACAAGAAGCAAACAAAAAATAAAACATATTTAACTTGAAGATGCTTAACTACTCATTTATTTACTGTGCTATAAAATTTTCATTCTTCAGAATTATCACAGGTAGTATGAAGTATATTTATAAAAGGTAAAGGTAAATAATTGGAAATTACAAAATTGAAAATCAAAGTTATTTTCACATTCATTGTATACAAAAATCAGTATGATAGCCAATCACTCATAATATTATCATCCATAATAGAATAAAAACTATGATTTTGAAATAAGCTTATCACTGACCCTCTTCTTGGAAGCACATTGTAAATACACAATGTTCTGAAAATGATATCACCAAGTATAGGTGCACTTTAGTTAACAGAAAAAATACGCCTTTAGAGTTGTAATACTGATTAAAATACTCCTTCCTAGAAATAATACTCGAAGAGGCATTTCTAAAATCAAGTGTACCCAGTCACTCCTCTCTGTTAATATGCTTATCCTGTTGGGGACCTACTTTCCATCTTCTATTTCACTGATCCTTTATCTTTGCATGAGTTAAGATGTGAGATTTCAGATTATTTGACTGAACAAACCTCTTGTTACAACCTTCAAAGGGACACACGAAAGGTTTCTCCCCAGTGTGAATGCGTACATGTGTACGCAAATTGAAGTCCAGGGAAAAGCGCTTTCCACATCCTTCAAAAGTGCACTGAAAGGGCTTCTCTCCAGTATGAACCAGAAAATGTCGTTTTAGTTTCGAGCTCTCACAGAATGCTTTCCCACATTCTGCACACACGTGGTCTCGGGGCCCATGAATAAGGAGATGCTTTTTCAGGGAAGCTCTGTTACTCAATCTTCTTGTGCATCCACTCTGAGGACAAGGGAATGTTTCTGGAGCATTACTTTCTTTATTTTCTTTTGACTTTTTAGCAAACTCTGCAAGTTGTTTCGGATCTGATAAGTCAACGCCAGGTATTCCGCCAGGAGGGAGCTTCTTGCCTGTCATGTACTCAGAATACCCAAGTACATTCTCTCCAACAACCTGCTGAGGAAGCTCCTGCTCTGCACCCTTTTCCATGTATCCCAAAGAACATTCAAGAAGAGAGCTTGCTTCAAGAACCTGTTGAGAAAGCTCCTGTTCCGATCCTTCCTTAAAATAGTCAAAAGACTTAAAAAGTGAGTCCTCATCCAGGAGGGGTTGAGAAAACTCACCTCTGATTATACATTCTATGTAACAGTCGGGGAAGGCATCCTCTCCTACAGTTCGTTGGTCAGTCTCACAGGGCACATCATCACGGAAGGCCCATGTCGTGTTGAGAGGTTCCATTTCTGCCTGCTGGGCTTGGCTTGGTTTAGCACTCCTGAGGGCTTTTCCACCAGAGCCCTTCCGGCCACTAGTCTTGGCCCTTTTCCTCAGTTGCTGGCTCATATTGTCCTGTTTGCTTCCTCCTTGAAGGTTTGCACCAGAAAATACCAAACACTTCCAGGAGGTAGTGAACTGGTTGTCTTCAGCAAACACCTGCTTTATAATAATAACCTTTAGTTAAAATATATTCCGACGAGTCAGAAAATGACCTCAAAAAATAACCGAGAACTCACTTTTCCATCACAGAATGGCTAGATTTACATCTTTGAAACACTCCCCAAGAGATAAAGACAACGAGCTCTAGGGTAAGATTTTATCTGGGTCCCACTGCAAGAAATATGACCTCTCAAATTGCTCACCAAACATCTAATGGGCATACAGTATGTGCTAGCTCTATTCTAGGCTACATATTGCCTGTGATACACCAGTAAGTAGACTACAAAAATATGCCTCCAAGATGTAGACATTCTCATGGTTATATAACACAAGTAAATAAGAGAGGGTGATTAAATGCTATGAAGTAAACCTAAGGGCCGATGCGAAGTAAGGACTTAAAATTTTGAATACCGCACTCAGACACATCTTTATTGAGATAGTGGCAGTTGCTTAAAAACTTGAAGGAAGTAAGGGAGAGAGACATGAAAGACACATCTATTTTTTTTTCTTTTAAATATTTATTTGTTTATTTGAGAGGCAGAGTGACAAAGAGCAGGAGAGAAAGAAATATTCTATCCATGAGTTCATTCCCCAAAATGCCCAACAGCCAGGGCTGGGCCAGGCTGAAGGCAACAACTAGCAACCCCAACTAGATTTCCCAAGTGGGTTTCAGGGACTCAAGTTGCTCAGCAAGTACAGGAGCAGGAAGCTGGATCAGAAGTGGACTAGTCAACACTGGAACCAGGCACTCTGATATGGGATGCAGCTGTCCCAAGTAGTGGCTTAGCCTGCTGTGCCATAACACTCATTACAAGTCTGTTTTCTTATGTAATACTACTGTGAAACTGAAATTAAATTATACAAAGTGTTTAGTCCAGTTCATGGCACATTTCAAATGTGGAAATCTAGGAGAGCTAACGTTATTTTATCACTTTTTGATTCATTCTATAAGAACAAGTTTGATATAGAGTATGCAGTCTGCACATTGCTCTGAGAATCCAGAGAACACAACACACAAAATACATAACATTTCCATCTTTTAGGAGTACAAGCCAAAATAAAAGCCAAGGGTAATTGGTCCTGAACAGATTTCCACCATTTCTTTCCTTCCCCTTTTTTTTTTTTAAAGATTTATTTATTTGAAAGGCACAGTTATAGATAAATAGAGGGAGAGACAGAATTATCTTCCATCCTCTAGTTTACTCCCCAAATGGCTGTAACAGCCAGGTCTGGGCTAGACTGAAACCAGGAGTTTCTTTTGGGTCTCCCACATGGGTGCAGGAGCCCAAGGATTTGGGTCCTCTTCCACTGCTTTCCCAGGCACATTAGCAAGGAGCTGGATCAGAAATGGAGCAGCTATGATTCAAACCAGCACCCATATGGGATGCAGGCATCACAAGTGGCAACTTCACCCACTCCACCACAAAGCCAGTCTCCCATTTCCTTAAATATTTAAAAGGGCCCCCCCAACTCCCTGGCAGTGTAGCATAGCAGGTTAAACCATTGCCTGTAGCTCAGGTATCCCATATGGGCACCAAGCAGAGTCCCTGCTGCTCCACGTCTGACCAAGTACCCTGGCTAATGCACCTAGGAAAACAGCAGAAGATGGTCAAAGAACTTGGGCCCCTGCATCCACATGGGAGACCTAGAAGAATCTCTTGTCTCCTGGTTTCAGTCCAGCCCAGTCCTGGCTGTTGAGGTCACCTGGGAAGTAAACCAGCAAGTGAAGATTATTCTCTCTCTGCCCCTGCCTCTCCCTCTTTGTAACTTCACCTTTCAAATAAATAAATACATTAAAAAATTTTTTTAATTAAAAAAAATTTAAAAGAGGGGAGGGTGGTGACAGGGAGTTGTGGCACACCTATTAAGACACAGCTTGGTAAGCCCACATCCCATATCAGAGTGTCAGTTGGAATCATGGCTACTCTGCTTCCCATCCAACTCCCTGACAATATAGCTGGGAAGCAGCAGATGATGCCTCAGGTACTTGAGCCCCTGCCACCCACTTGGGATACTGGGATAGCTAGCTAGCTCTTGTGGGCATTTGAAGAGTGAACTAGAAGATGGAAGATCTCTCTCCCTCCCCCCGCCCCTTTCACTTTCTGTCACATTGTAAATCAAATAAATTTTTAAAAACCTAAAAGTGTGATGGTTGTTTGGTGTCGTGGTTAAGAAGTTGCTTGGGACACCTGCATCCCATATTTTAGTGTTTGTGTTAGAGTCTAGGCTCTACTTCTGATGCTCCTCATAGGCAGCAGGTGATTGTTCAAGTAATTGAGTCCCTACCACCCACAACAGGTGACCTATACTGTGTTCTCAGCTCCCAGTTTTAGCCAGGTCCAGCCCCAGCTGTTGCAGGCATTTGGAGAGTGAACCAGTGAATAGCATAACTCTGTCTTCCTTTGAAGTCAAAGTAAATAAATAAATAAAATGTAGAAGCAAGAACATTTAAAAAGTATAGTATTAATACATTATTACTGCTTTTCTAAGAGACTGTTTGATAAAAAATCTCTTTATTGTGATATTTTGCTGCAAGAATATAAATTAAATGTGTTTTTTTTTTAAAGAGGCTAATGTGAAAGCAGTGGGGTGAAAATTAAGTTTGAAAATACTTGCAAATTAGCCACATTTAAAGAAATAACCTCAACAGAAGCACATCACTTACTTTTGGCAAAAAAATATAAACAGAATAAAAACAAAACATGTTTTAATTGCTAAAGAAGGACGTTGAAATTTCTTAAAATGTTTATATAGCCCTTCTCACAGTTAGTCCATGTAAAACTACAATTTGATTGATTCCTGCTTTTCTCCCCAAGCTTGTCTCATGCCATCTCCAGGTCTTCTAATTCAGTATTCAGCCATACTAAGCTCTTCCCCTAATAAAGCATTAAATCACCCTACCAAATATGTTCTTCTACTACCCATCCTCCTCACTCCCTAGAGCTTGTGTCAAGAAGAACACAAAGGTCTCAACTTCACTATCACTTCTTCAGTCAGGCTTTCCTTGGTTCTTGGGCTTAGTTAGACTTGAAAGCTAAATGATCCTATTACACTGATGAGAGGTCTTGATGTTGCTTATTTAAGGTTCATCTTACCTGCTAGACTGTAGGGAAGCTCTATGAGGTCGAAGGCCTCTCCCGTTTGTTCACAGGCGTCCTGGCACTTAGTACGTTTGTCTAATGAAATGAATGGACAAATACATATTAGTTATGGTACTGGAATCTGACTCAGCAATCCTATATTATTAACTGGAACTTTAGGCACACTTAATGTATAAGTTTCAAACAGCTATCAGTGATGGAAGTGTAATCTAAAACGATGTTTTCTAAGGGATCGTCGTTGGGGAGACAAGTATCATCTTTATAAATCTACCAAGGTCCCAGTACAGCCCTTATTTTTCTAAACTAGATTCTTTATATCTCACAGCAATATGCAAACTTATGAGAATGACATATACAATTGAATTGTAATTTATTAATTTACTATGGCAAACTTTACATGACATGCATTCTCTTAATGAAAATAACTACATAAACATGGATAAGCATGAGTACAAAACGTGCACATTAAATGAGTACTTCATAGTGTATGATAAATCTAATTTTATATTACTTCAACTGGCATAGAGGTGTATTATTTACTTTTCCATCAAATACTTAGTTCCAAACATTGTTTAGGTGGTGAACACAGAGCAGTGAAAAAGACCCTTGGTTAACAAGGAGGTTAAATTCGCTTGAGATGGATTGCGAACGGTAAATAAATAAAATAGTTTTAGATTTAGAAAAATGCTAAGGAAGAAATCCAGAATATATGAGGCCACGTAACTAGGGGAGGGCATCTTTATAATCAATGTCTGTAAAGGCCTCCAAGGAAGGAATATTATAGACTTGGATCTGCAAAAGTGCCAGCAAGCAGCCATAAGAATATTACCAGTAGGGCGGCAGCAGCCAGTCCGAAAGGATTAGCACCGTGGTAGAGATGGAAGCCATCTTGATTACAGGATATGGCGGCAAACAAGGTGGCGGTCAGACAGGAAGTGGAGCCCCCACCCCCGGGGGTGAATGGGCTCCAGTGCCCCCGGCGCCATTTGCATTTCATTCCAAGGCCAGTGGAAACCCTTCCAGGCTTTCAAACAAAAGGACAGCATGCTGGGGCTTGCGTTAATGGAGAACGGATTAGGCCGTTTAGTAATTCAAGAAAGGATTCCTGGTGTTTTGGAGCAGGGGGTGGCAGTGGACAGGAAACGAAACAGGGCGGGAAAAACAGAAGGAAAAAAAAAACCTTCCAAACTTGCTGCTGGGCCCCATGGAGAGGGAAGGGAAACGGGAATTGAGAAAGAGCTGTCCTAGGTGTTTATCTTCTCTTTTTCTGCTGAAGTAAATGGGGTGGGTAGCGGTGCCATTTCCAGAGACACGTGGAGAGAAAAAGACGGGGAAGATGGGTCCGCCATCTTAATAATAATAAGCATTTTAATATAAACACACCTAGCTACACGTTGTAATTAAATATAATATGTATATACAATACATTTTGAAGCAAAATAAAAAAACGCAACCTCAAGGAAATTTCAACCCAAAATCCGCTTTCTTGAAAGTATATTGCTTTTCTTCGTTACCCGCTTTTAAAGTCGGAGGCAGGAGGCCCAAAACACAGTCGTCGGGGCGCGCCGTCTAAACGCTGCCAGTTCGCCAAGGCCTGGTTCTAGAAGGAGACTCTGCCCGCCGCGGTTTTCTAGACCTTTTGACCGACGCAGTGTGCGTGGTGAACTCACGCCTCCCTCTGCCCGTCCAGTATGGAAGGAAAACACAGTACGTGGGACGAGACTTACCGAGCCACCGCGACGCGCCCTGAACTCCTCTGCTGCCCCTTCTTCCTGAGGGAAGACGAAGAAGCGCCGGCTGCTCGGGCCCAGCCGCCGGAGAAGCCGCACTCGGTCTTAAGCTCCGCCGGTTGGATCCACCCTCCTTTCTCACGACCACATTCCAATCAGGCTGCACCTACAGTTGAACCCAGCGGGGATTCGGTTTGAACGTCCAGGGTGCAGCAGGGAGGGGAGTGGGCGTGGCTCTGCTCCTCGCCCCGTAGGGCACCCGGCGGGGCGGACCGCCCCGGAGCCACCCTGGCCCGGCGCGGTCACCTTCACCAGGCCTCGGCCACGCGGGCGCGAACGCCTTGGAATGCCGTGGCCTGAGCTCGTGGTATGCGTGCAGTCAGCGTCTAGTGAACAGGTGAAGGTGGGTGTAATCCAAATTCCAGCGTGTTTTAGGAGAGGTCTTCAAAAAGTTCATGGAAAATGCGTGTTATGAAAACTCTCCACCTGGATTGCAAAATAGGGGGGCGAAATGAATTATTCTTCGCGTTTTTCCTTTGAGGTTTCCTCGTTTATTAGTAAAATGAAAATCAAGCGGCGGAGGCAGCGTTTACTCCCTGAACATTTAGTTTCCACCAACACACACACCTTTCCCGCACCAGCTCCTCACTCCTCCACTCCCTACCCACCCTACCGGCAATCTCAAGTAAACTCAACTGCTTTTTCCTTTTTAGCCATTAATGCGATTATCTGCACCCCCAAAGGAAACACAACTTACTTTGAGAGCACCGGTCAATCATGGCTCACCATTTGTTATGGTCCAGTGAAATTTAGTGGTTCATATAAATGCACTCACACCATTAAAACAAAAAACAAATCGATATTTAAGAACCTTCTAAATTTTGACTTGGAGCTTTTCAGTTCAGATCTGTCTATATATCTTGGAGGAGTACCTCACTCTCCTGTTTCTGAAAAAAATCTGTTTTTGAATAACCTTCAATTGTGACATTGGAAAATAAAAGATAATTTCCAATGGGAGAAATATTTAAACTTATGAGCACTTTTCTATTTACTATCCCCAGTAGGTATATTAGGCTCCCATTTATTTGAATAGAAGTGAAATAGGGGTTCTTAAGTTCCTTAGAATATATTTATAGTTAAGTTTCTGAAGGCAGAAATAGTTAAAAACAACTACAAAATAACAACCAACTTTGCCTTCTGGTCTCTATGGTGTCTCCCTATGGTCTCTTTGAAACAGTGCTGGGAATTTCTCAATTCAGCCTTTTTTCTTCCTTTTTTTGGTAATCACAATGTTAATGTTTGTGTTTCAATAACTAGCACAACTTCAATGAGGCAAAGGATTTTAAGCATTCTTTCCTATCCTTTAAATGGCAGTGTTATTGAAAGTGCCTGTTCCTCTTGAATGGACACACATATTCCCAAATGAAGCTGAAGATCTTTTCTTGAAAATAATTCATCAGACCACACCCTTTGGTTATCACTCCCTGAGGCAGTGTACACAACAAACTAGATCAATTTATGATCCCCACCCTTAGCCTGATCCCATCTGATTCCTTGGTTTGTGTTATGGTGTCTCTATCTGGGAACTGGAGACAGGGCATTTAGATAAACTAAATTTACTTTGCAGAGTCCACCCCCTACATGAATTATTTTTACTGCCATTATGTTTTAGCTTTCTTTTCCACAGCCCTGAAGAAGCAAAGCAAAACGAATGAACTCATCTATTGTCATAAAACGCAAAGGGAAATTTAATTTCTCTACTGAGCTAGGGAGCCAATTAAACTGCAAAACAGAAATGGGCTGCCTTTTGAAATTGACCACAAAGAAGGTGGTGTATGGAAGCCAAGAATTGTTTGAAGAACTGAAATTTTAGTCACAGTAATTTTCCCAGTGATATTACCATGGTCTTTAAAAATTGTGCTTTGACAATTTATATCTGTGTTATAAACGATTCATTTCCTTAAAATACTTAGGCTGCAGAAACTATAAATATGCACTAATTCACTTTGCAGATTTAAATTTCTCTCCCAGACAGGCCACTGTTCTAGGCCCTAGAGATAGGCATCCCTTGCTTCCTGGTGTTGGCAGGCCAAACTTGCTGGACCAGAACTAGAGTGAAGAGAGTAACACAGGATCTGCAGCAAATTAAAAGCATTTCAAAAAAAAGTGAGTTAAAATAATATTTTAATACAGTATTAAAAACTTTAAAAAAGTGCAAAAATTCATGATGAACAAAATATCCAAATTTTCCAACAGAGGATGCCAGCCAAATAGTTATATTTTTAAATGGCAAAATTCAGCTGTGATTAGTCAATGAAGCAGAGGTATTTAGTGCTGTGAATCTTGAAGTTCAAGGGAGGTTTCCCTGAGAAGTCAGCTTGGGGGACAGAAGAGTCCTGACTGTGGAGGGAATGGGAGTAGCTATGGAAGGACTGAGTGATGAGAGAAAGAAAAAGAGGAAGTGTGGAGAAGAGGTACTGACCTAGGCGAGATAAGGACTTAGATTTTCATCCCAAAAGCAATGGGAGTGGGATATTAGAAGAAAACGTGTTTCACGCCAATTAATCTTAAAGTTGTAAGATATTTCATTATTGGAATTTCATTATATTTCTACTTGGTTTAGCTTGTATTAATTGAATGCTTAATCTGCTTGGTCTCATTTTATCTTAGAAATAAATTTATGAAGTAGCTAATACTACTATTATTATTTGCATTTTAAATGCTAATACTTGGAGCAGCGCTGTGGCGAAGTAGGTTAATCCTCCACCTGTGGCGCCAGCATCCCATGTGGGTCCCGGTTCTAGTCCTGGCTGCTCCTCTTCCAATCCAGCTCTCTGCTGTGGCCTGGGGAAGCAGTGGAAGATGGCCAAAGTCCTTGGGCCTCTGCACCTGTGTGGGAGACCTGGAGGAGGCTCCTGGCTTCTGGCTTCGATCAGCATAGCTCCAGCCACTGGGGACATCTGGGGAGTGAACCATTGGGTGGAAGACCTCTCTCTACCTCTCCTCTCTCTGTGTAACTCTGATTTTCAAATAAATAAAATAAATCTTTGAAAAAAAATGTTAACACTGAGGCACAAAGGAATTCTACTCAGTGGTGATTAAACTCAGATTAGAATCCAAGCAAGTAAAATGGACATTTTGAGATCTGATGATTGTTTATAGCTCTTGTCTTTACTGTTGAAGACCAGTGTTTTGTTCTTTTTACATTCACTGAATTCTTTACTTAGTGTAGGGTTAATCTTATGAGTATAAAATAAAAGAAAAAAGAATCCAAGTGTACTTAATTCTTTGGCATTTTATGTTATATTGTAGTGTTTTACAAATTCTGTAGTTATGTTTTTCACCAAAAAAAACTTTTGCATTATTATCTTCTGTAATTTATAGTGCTCATTTTACATGCTTGCTTATCTTATTAACATTATGAATGGTTGTTACTCATTTTGTGTATGAAGAGATGGAAAGTCAGTAATGAAAAATGCTCTATTCAAAGCCACACAAGTATTAGTTTATGGGACAGAGTTTAGACCTTAAGTGTTGCTATCCTGAAATAAAATTTAGAGGTAAGTTTTTCCAAGTTCAGGACCTCTTTAAAGAATTTGTCTTTTGGCCGGTGCCGCGGCTCACTTGGCTAATCCTCTGCCTACGGCGCCGGCACACCGGGTTCTAGACCTGGTTGGGGTGCCGGATTCGGTCCTGGTTGCCCCTCTTCCAGGCCAGCTCTCTGCTGTGGCCAGGGAGTGCAGTGGAGGATGGCCCAAGTGCTTGGGCCCTGCACCCGCATGGGAGACCAGGAGGAAGCACCTGGCTCCTGGCTTCGGATCAGCACAGTGTGCCAGCCGCAGCATGCCGGCCATAGCGGCCATTTGGGGGTGAACCAACGGAAGGAAGACCTTTCTCTTGGTCTCTCTCACTGTCTAACTCTGCCTGTCCAAAAAAAAAAAAAAAGAATTTGTCTATTGTAATTTTTGAGTTTGCATGAATAAAATTCCTATCAATGATTTTTTTCTACTTGGAATTTGATATTTGAATGGAGCATTTTTTTTTTCAAAGATTTATTTATTTGAAAGGCAGAACTACAGTGAGAAAGAGAAAGAGATCTTCCATCAGTAGGTTCACTCTCAAAAATGGCCACAATGGACAGGTCTGAGGCCAGACCGAAGCCAGGAGCCGGGAACTCTAACTAACGTGGTCTCCAGGTCTCTCACGTGGGTACAGGGGCCCAAACACTCAGCCATCATGGCACTGCTTCCCCAGTTGCATTAATAGAGAGCTGGATCAGAAAGAGAGGAGCTGGGACTCTAACTGATACTTCAATATGGGATGCAGGCGTCCCAACCAGTGGCTAAATCTGCTGCATCAAACCCTGACCCACCCCCCTTTTTGTTAGAGTTTTTAAGAATGATTTTTTTTTAATTTAGAATGATTTTTAAGAGGTGTACTAAGGCACTTTGACTTTGCTATTTTTTTTAAATCCAAATGGAAGCTTTTTGGTACATCATGCTAAGAATACTTGTCACCATACCATCACATATTTTCCTAAGTTTTTCTTACACTTGAGATGAAAGCTGTAACTACATAAATATTGTCATATTTTATTTTCTCTACAGTAATATAGCAGTAGGCCTTAGTGTAGGACCTGTGGGTTATTTTTCAGAGCACAATTTCTCCTCAGGCTGACAATGGTCCTTAATGTTATTTATTGGCAACATTGTAAGATCCTTCCTTGTCTTAAGAATGGACTATTGATATCATCTCTGAATGTGTTCTTCCAAAATTCACATGTTGAGATTTAATCCCAAATGTGATGGTATTATGAGAGTGGCCTTTGAGAAAGGGTTAGGTCAGGAGGGCTATGCTCCCATGAATGGTGATTATTTTAATGACAGAGAATCAGAGAGAGAGAGAAGCTCCCATCCTCTGGTCAACTTCCCAAATGCCCAGGAATGAATCAAGGCTGAATCTAGGAGTTGGGAACCCTATCCAGGTTTCCCACATGCATGGCAGGAACCCAAATACTTGAGCCATCACTTCTTCCTTTCAGGGTCTGCATTAGTGGAATCTGGATTTAGGAGCTACAGGTGAGCCCTGAACCCAGTCACTGCAACACAGGATGCTAGTGTCTCAACAGATGTCTTACTTTCTAGGCCAAATTCTGTCCCATTGCTTTATAAAAGATGCTGTCACTTCTGCCATGTGAGGACACAGAGATACCATCTAAAGGAACAAGGCCTGGCCAGATATGCTGATGACTTCTTAGTCTTCAGAACTGTGAAGAATAACTTCATCTTGTTTCTCGTTACCCATCCTAAGGGATCTGGTTATAGCAGTCTGAAAAGAATAAGACAACTACATAACTTCCTTTCCCCTAACGACTCCTTTACTTCCACTCTAAACTTGCAAAAATTAGTTCACCTAGGGGCTGGCACAGTGGCACAGCGTGTTAACACCCTGGCCTGAAGCTCTGGCATCCCATATGGGCGTCGGTTCTAGTCCCAGCTGCTCCTCTTCCAATCCAGCTCTCTGCTATGGCCTGGGAAAGCAGTGG